CAGAGTTGCCCATTGGCCAATCTGAACTGTGGCCCAGTGCAAGATGGGGTCATTCCAATGTTCTAATTCATGATGAATCATCAGAACCGTATCTTCTAGTTGTTGGTGGCTACCCTAGCAAGGACTGCTGGCTTTTCAATATTAATAAACGTGTATGGCAAGAGGTAGTAATATATATACAATATACATAAATGCCTCCTTAATTTGTGGTATTGAAAGAATGAAGATTAAAAATTAATTTTACTTTATTTTCTTTATTTTAGCTCACATGTACTGTTCCAGTCACTGTCACTGGTAGATACTATCATTCTCTAGGAGCGTGGAGTGTGACACCAGTTAGTGTGTGGGTTATTGAGCATGGTAGATTTAAGAAAGGACCAATTGTTAATACTACAGCAATTATTGAATTGAGTAAGTGCCATATAATTACAATAGTGCTTGTGATCAAGATAACATATAAGATCAGAATTATTATTGTTTCAAGTTAATAATAATTATTAATGCCTTTTTTTCCTACCCTATAGCTTGTACTCAAACAAAGAAATGGTCTATTTCTTTCATCACCCTAAGCAACTATTAAGAGAAACTAAAGGAAAGAAGAAGAGAATGGGAGGAGCTGAAGACTGCAAGACAGAATTGCTCAGCACGTAGGTCACAGTTGAATTATGAACACAAGGAGATCTAGATAGCTGGAAGATCAAGGAGCATGTTCAATTGAAGCTGCACCAGGAGCTAAAAGAGGCTAGAATCCAGCTACAACAGAAAGAGAAGGAGCTTCAAGTGGTCCAAGAGGAGCTTTTAACAATCAGTCAGGCCCAGGAGAAGGAGTTTCAAAAAAGAGAGAGGGATATTTGATTAGAATTTGCAGAAACGGAGCTACAGCTCCAGATGGTAAAAGTCCAGCTATCGGAGGCGAAGCAGCAAGCAAGCGTCGTTCAGTTTCAATTGCAAGAGAAGGAAAAGGAGCTCTCAACAGCTCAGCTACAGCTTTCAGAGGCAATGGAGGAACTCAATGGACTAAGGAGAGAGTTGGAAGAGAAGGAAAATATCGAGAGAGAAAAGGAGAAACATCGTAAGAAGGAGAATGCTTTCTGGTTTGTGAGGAAAGATGACATGTCACAATCAGTCCAGATAACTTCACTCTAGTAACAGATAATAACGGAGTACACAAGATATCAATAAACGGACATGACAGTGGGTCTTTAGCTGAAAAGGGAGAGAAATCAGGCCAGTTTAGTACATATAATTGCCTCTCATCTTACACATCGCATCTGTGTTGCTGATCGTGGCAATCACAGAATTCAAGTCCTCAATCCAGACTTGACCTCATTTCTTGTGTTTGGCAGCAAAGGATCTGGTGAGGGCCAGTTTGACGAACCTTGGGGTCTAGCTATTGACAGTGACAAGTTTCTTTACGTCATCGACTCTAAGAATCACCGCATTCAAAAGTTTACGTCCAAAGGAGAATTTGTAATGGAGTTTGGCAAAACTGGAGAAGGGACTTTATCGTCTCCTGCTGGTATAACTATCAGCCACAAGAATCAGTTATATGTCACAAAGAAGGGAACTCATTCTGTTGCTGTGTTTGATACTGAGGGTCACTTTATCAATCGATTTGGTCATCATGTCAGTAATCCAGATTATTGTCTTAAATGTCCCGAGGGGATTGACTTTGACTGCAATGGACTCTTATACATTTGTGACTATTTTAATAAAAGAATAGTAGTATATTAGTTGTTATTTTTGCAAATCATATTTGTGGTTGTAATAGGTATTTTTTATATAAACATTCAAATGTCGATTGAGCAATTCCTGTGTTATTGATGATTTTAATAGTTTGTATTGTACTAACATTTACATGACTGGTTTTAAAGGATACTCCTTTCTATTATAGAAATAACAGAGTGATGAAATACTTCAACTGCTCTTTACATTTTACTACATAAACTGAGATACTAAATATTTGAAATAACTCTTATTTATAAAGATACATGCACACAGCATCAAAATGATATATGCAGCAACAAAGAGTCTAATAGTAACTTTTATAAATGAGGTATCACACAGCAACAAAAAGTCTAGTAGTAGCTATACTAATAACATACAATAATTAATATACAATAATACAATATACCATAATTGATAGACAGCACCACAAAAAGCAACAAAATCAGTTACGAAAAGCTCAGTCTGTCTTTAATGGAACCGTTAGCTTGAGAGAAATTGTAAGCAGTTGCTTGATGAGACTGGTCCAGGGTGAGCAGTCGAAGACTATTGTTCCTCCTTGCAAGAGCAAGTAGAATTTTTACCACCCCAGCTTCATCGAGCCTTAGGCCAAGAGCAGAGAAGTACTGTAAAGTCGAGTTGCTTTGAATAACATCCGAAATAGCTTGTGCATAAGAAGCAGAGCTTGTGGAGGAGAGAGGCAATAACATTTGGCTGTTAAATTGAATGGTGAATTCTTCTAATGACTCATTAGTCAACAGGACATTGAGGATATAGCTCAAACTGGTAGGAGGAAGAGCGACATCTGTAAGACGAAGAGCCTTAAGCCTCTGCAGCAATTGAATGATAGAATGCACACTGTCATGAGATAAAGGTGTCTTGTTGATGTGGAGATATGTTATTGATGTCATTGGTAGGCGTAATAAAATGGCAGAAGCAGAATCGACAAAAGCATCATTCAATGACAGGGCAGCTTGTTGAATTTGAATTTCCTTGCATGTTTTAAGAGAAGGAGCTGTAAGAGTAATTTCTGAATCAGACACAAAGGTCTCTATCACTGAAGCAAAAACAAAGTATTGTAGAAATGCCATACAAATACTAACCGATCTGGGTTTCAGAATCATATGGTGTCTGTGTAGACTTGGCTTCTTCAGTATAGAGTGTCTGTGTAAACTGATTTATGGTTTCTTTATTAAAAATAAAAGTATTACAATTTTCAAAATCTACTTGCCTGATTTTTCCTGATAAGACTCTTCTAAGCCTATTTATTAACAAAATTATGTCAGGAATGGCATTATTAGCTAGTACCGTTTGCTCCATTCTCTATTAGTTGCATGCCCAACATC